AAACCTGATATGGTTTAGATTACCAAACTCACTTTCCAACCAAAGAAAAAACCTTTCATTAATCTCTAAACTGATCTGCCCAAAAGAACTTGGAGTGATAGTAATGGTTTCTCTGATTTGGTGGACAAAACAATAAATAGTTCTCTTAAGCGCTTGTCCCATCAAGAAACTCTCTTTGAATGGCGACTATGAAACATCTCTTGTTTCCCATTGGATTCGCACTATCCTTGAACTACGCGGCAGCTTGGAACTACACTTTCAATAAAAACAATATACTTATCCTCTTGATATACGGATCCTCTCGAGCAGCAACACATTAGTTAAACTCTCACACTATCCGGTCGAACTGATCTTTGTGAAGGGGATGTTCACCCTGTGTTTTTCCTCATCTCTGAAGCGTTACACTCTGAGGTGGCCAGAAGTGGGGCCCATCACGATTCCAAGTAGGCCCAATAAGCCCTAAAACTGTTCGCCCTTCCGTTCCCTTCATCTTCATTTTGGGGTTGTGTCTGTGTGGTTTCTTTCTTCTCTGAGAGAGATTTATCAAAATCAGTTTTCTGGAAATTTGTTTCGGGGAAGAAAATTGTCTCCGGCCATGACTGAAGTAGCGAGCTCGGTGGTGTATGAAGTGCTTGGACGCAGAGCACTGGATGTCGACGAGCCGATCATGGATTACATCATCAATGTCCTCGCCGATGAGGATTTCGACTTCGGTGAGGAAGGTGAGGGTGCCTTCGATGCCGTCGGTGAGCTCCTCGTCGCTGCTGAATGCGTCTCCGATTTCGATGAGTGCCGTTTGGTAAGTAATCACCGGAGACCTATACTTGAATCTGTCTGTTTTTGGCTCTAGATTCGTTTTTTGTCTTCTTGCTTTTGTGTTTTGAGCTTAGGGTCTCACTCGGAACTAAAATCTGGGATGGAAATGGAAATCAGAATCACTGACTAGGTGGCTTTGAATATCTGAATCTGAAATGGACATTGAAGGGCATTTGATAAGAGATTGGATGTGGTGTAGGTTTGTAGCAAACTTTCTGATAAGTTTGGAAAGCATGGGTTGGTGAAGCCTCAACCAACCGTAAGGAGTCTTGCCATGCCTGTACGGATGAACGATGGAATGGACGATGGACCGGTTAAGAAGAAGAAGCCAGAGCCGATAGATGGACCTTTGTTGTCAGAACGTGACAAAGCTAAGATCGAAAGGAGAAAGAAAAAAGATGATCGCCAAAGAGAGGTATAACAAGGAGGCTGAGTTCCCCTTTTTAGTTGAGAATTTTGTTCGATTTTCATTGTGATGATTTACTGGTTTCTTGTTTCTGCAGGTACAATATCAGCAGCATGTTGCTGAAATGGAAGCGGTTAAAGCAGGGATGCCTACTGTAAGTGTGAATCATGACACTGGTGGTGGCTCCAGTGTCAGAGATATTCATATGGATAACTTCAATGTTTCTGTTGGAGGCCGTGATCTCATTGTGGACGGATCAATCACCCTCTCTTTTGGACGCCACTATGGTGGGTTTGATC